CTCCTCCTTCTCATGCAGTGTATAATAAGTTGCGTAGATCTCGCCTCCTCCTCCTCATGCAGTGTATAATAAGTTACATAGATCTCTCCTCCTCATCATGCAGTGTATAATAAGTTGCGTAGATCTCTCCTCCTCATCCTCATGCAGTGCATAATAAGTTGTGTAGATCTCTCCTCCTCCTCATGCAGTGTATAATAAGTTGTGTAGATCTCTCCTCCTCCTCATGCAGTGTATAATAAGTTGTGTAGATCTCTTCTCCTCCTCATGCAGTGTATAAGTTGTGTAGATCTCTCCTCCTCCTCATGCAGTGTATAATAAGTTGTGTAGCGTTTTCCTCCTCATGCAGTGTATAATACGTTGTTTAGATCTCTCCTCCTCATGCAGTGTATACGTTGTGTAGATCTCTTCTCCGCCTTATGCAGTGTATAATAAGCTGTGTAGCGTTCTCCTCCTCATGCAATGTATAATATGTTGTGTAGATCTCTCCTCCTCCTCATGCAGTGTATAAGTTGTGTAGATCTCTCCTCCTCATGCAGTGTATAATACGTTGCGTAGATCTCTCCTCCTCCTCATGCAGTGTATAAGTTGTGTAGATCTCTCCTCCTCCTCATGCAGTGTATAATAAGTTGTGTAGATCTCTCCTCCTCCTCATGCAGTGTATAGTAAGTTGTGTAGATATCTCCTCCTCCTCATGCAGTGTATAGTAAGTTGTGTAGATCTCTCCTCCTCCTCATGCAGTGTATAGTAAGTTGTGTAGATCTCTCCTCCTCATGCAGTGTATAGTAAGTTGTGTAGATCTCTCCTCCTCCTCATGCAGTGTATAGTAAGTTGTGTAGATCTCTCCTCCTCCTCATGCAGTGTATAGTAAGTTGTGTAGATCTCTCCTCCTCATGCAGTGTATAATAAGTTGTGTAGATCTCTCCTCATCCAGTGTATAAGTAGTGTAGATCTCTCCTCATCCAGTGTATAAGTAGTGTAGATCTCTCCTCCTCATGCAGTGTATAAGTAGTGTAGATCTCTCCTCCTCATGCAGTGTATAAGTTGTGTAGATCTCTCCCCATCCTCATGCAGTGTACAATAAGTAGTGTAGATCTCTCTTCCTCCTCCTCATGCAGTGTATAATAAGTTGTGTAGCGTTCTCCTCCTCATGCAGTGTATAGTAAGTTGTGTAGCGTTCTCCTCCTCATGCAGTGTATAGTAAGTTGTGTAGCGTTCTCCTCCTCATGCAGTGTATAGTAAGTTGTGTAGCGTTCTCCTCCTCATGCAGTGTATAGTAAGTTGTGTAGCGTTCTCCTCCTCATGCAGTGTATAGTAAGTTGTGTAGCGTTCTCCTCCTCATGCAGTGTATAGTAAGTTGTGTAGCGTTCTCCTCCTCATGCAGTGTATAGTAAGTTGTGTAGCGTTCTCCTCCTCATGCAGTGTATAGTAAGTTGTGTAGCGTTCTCCTCCTCACATACCAGCAGCAGATGACACTCAGCACAATCCTTCCACCCAGCAGCCACAACATAAACATTGGAGGAACTGTCTGCGCCCGACCGCTTCATTGTTCCCCAGAGGAGGACTGTTCATTTCTCACCTCACCTGTAGTCCGGTTAGATTTCTCACCTCACCTGTACTCCGGTTAGATTTCTCACCTCACCTGTACTCCGGTTAGATTTCTCACCTCACCTGTACTCCGGTTAGATTTCTCACCTCACCTGTACTCCGGTTAGATTTCTCACCTCACCTGTACTCCGGTTAGATTTCTCACCTCACCTGTACTCCGGTTAGATTTCTCACCTCACCTGTACTCCGGTTAGATTTCTCACCTCACCTGTACTCCGGTTAGATTTCTCACCTCACCTGTACTCCGGTTAGATTTCTCACCTCACCTGTACTCCGGTTAGATTTCTCACCTCACCTGTACTCCGGTTAGATTTCTCACCTCACCTGTACTCCGGTTAGATTTCTCACCTCACCTGTACTCCGGTTAGATTTCTCACCTCACCTGTACTCCGGTTAGATTTCTCACCTCACCTGTACTCCGGTTAGATTTCTCACCTCACCTGTACTCCGGTTAGATTTCTCACCTCACCTGTACTCCGGTTAGATTTCTCACCTCACCTGTACTCCGGTTAGATTTCTCACCTCACCTGTACTCCGGTTAGATTTCTCACCTCACCTGTACTCCGGTTAGATTTCTCACCTCACCTGTACTCCGGTTAGATTTCTCACCTCACCTGTACTCCGGTTAGATTTTCACCTCACCTGTACTCCGGTTAGATTTCTGTCACTGTACTCTCCGGTTAGATTTCTCACCTCACCTGTACTCCGGTTAGATTTCTCACCTCACCTGTACTCCGGTTAGATTTTCTCACCTCACCTGTACTCCGGTTAGATTTCTCACCTCACCTGTACTCCGGTTAGATTTCTCACCTCACCTGTACTCCGGTTAGATTTCTCACCTCACCTGTACTCCGGTTAGATTTCTCACCTCACCTGTACTCCGGTTAGATTTCTCACCTCACCTGTACTCCGGTTAGATTTCTCACCTCACCTGTACTCCGGTTAGATTTCTCACCTCACCTGTACTCCGGTTAGATTTCTCACCTCACCTGTACTCCGGTTAGATTTCTCACCTCACCTGTACTCCGGTTAGATTTCTCACCTCACCTGTACTCCGGTTAGATTTCTCACCTCACCTGTACTCCGGTTAGATTTTCACCTCACCTGTACTCCCTCACCTGTACTCCGGTTAGATTTCTCACCTCACCTGTACTCCGGTTAGATTTCTCACCTCACCTGTACTCCGGTTAGATTTCTCACCTCACCTGTACTCCGGTTAGATTTCTCACCTCACCTGTACTCCGGTTAGATTTCTCACCTCACCTGTACTCCGGTTAGATTTCTCACCTCACCTGTACTCCGGTTAGATTTCTCACCTCACCTGTACTCCGGTTAGATTTCTCACCTGTACAGATTTCTCACCTCACCTGTACTCCGGTCAGATTTCTCACCTCACCTGTACTCCGGTCAGATTTCTCACCTCACCTGTACTCCGGTCAGATTTCTCACCTCACCTGATTTCTACTCCGGTCAGATTTCTCACCTCACCTGTACTCCGGTCAGATTTCTCACCTCACCTGTACTCCGGTCAGATTTCTCACCTCACCTGTACTCCGGTCAGATTTCTCACCTCACCTGTACTCCGGTCAGATTTCTCACCTCTGTACTCCGGTCTCACTCACCTGTACTCCGGTCAGATTTCTCACCTCACCTGTACTCGGTAAGATTTCTCACCTCACCTGTACTCCGGTAAGATTTCTCACCTCACCTGTACTCCGGTAAGATTTCTCACCTCACCTGTACTCCGGTAAGATTTCTCACCTCACCTGTACTCCGGTAAGATTTCTCACCTCACCTGTACTCCGGTAAGATTTCTCACCTCACCTGTACTCCGGTAAGATTTCTCACCTCACCTGTACTCCGGTAAGATTTCTCACCTCACCTGTACTCCGGTAAGATTTCTCACCTCACCTGTACTCCGGTAAGATTTCTCACCTCACCTGTACTCCGGTTAGATTTCTCACCTCACCTGTACTCCGGTTAAGATTTCTCACCTCACCTGTACTCCGGTTAGATTTCTCACCTCACCTGTACTCCGGTTAGATTTCTCACCTCACCTGTACTCCGGTTAGATTTCTCACCTCACCTGTACTCCGGTTAGATTTCTCACCTCACCTGTACTCCGGTTAGATTTCTCACCTCACCTGTACTCCGGTTAGATTTCTCACCTCACCTGTACTCCGGTTAGATTTCTCACCTCACCTGTACTCCGGTTAGATTTCTCACCTCACCTGTACTCCGGTTAGATTTCTCACCTCACCTGTACTCCGGTTAGATTTCTCACCTCACCGGTTAGTCACTGTACCGGTTAGATTTCTCACCTCACGGTTAGATTTCTCACCTCACCTGTACTCCGGTTAGATTTCTCACCTCACCTGTACTCCGGTTAGATTTCTCACCTCACCTGTACTCCGGTTAGATTTCTCACCTCACCTGTACTCCGGTTAGATTTCTCACCTCACCTGTACTCCGGTTAGATTTCTCACCTCACCTGTACTCCGGTTAGATTTCTCACCTCACTGTACTCCGTAGTTAGATTTCTCACCTCACCTGTACTCCGGTTAGATTTCTCACCTCACCTGTACTCCGGTTAGATTTCTCACCTCACCTGTAGTCCGGTAGATTTCTCACCTCACTTGTAGTCCGGTTAGATTTCTCACCTCACTTGTAGTCCGGTTAGATTTCTCACCTCACTTGTAGGCCGGTTAGATTTCTCACCTCACTTGTAGTCCGGTTAGATTTCTCACCTCACTTGTAGTCCGGTTAGATTTCTCACCTCACTTGTAGTCCGGTTAGATTTCTCACCTCACTTGTAGTCCGGTTAGATTTCTCACCTCACTTGTAGTCCGGTTAGATTTCTCACCTCACTTGTAGTCCGGTTAGATTTCTTACCTCACTTGTAGGCCGGTTAGATTTCTTACCTCACTTGTAGTCCGGTTAGATTTCCTCACCTCACTTGTAGTCCTGGTAGATTTCTCACCTCACTTGTAGTCCGGGTATATTTCTCACCTCACTTGTAGTCCTGGTACATTTCTCACCTCACTTGTAGTCCGGGTATATTTCTTACCTCACTTGTAGTCCGGTTAGATTTCTTTACTGTTCTTTATGAATGAAGAGCATACGGGAAGAAGAGACTGCGGCACTAACTTAGTATCTGAGCACCGCATCCATGAGGCCATATAGTGTGAAAGGGTCCTAAAGCGACATAATCCCCCCATGTAAGAAAGGCCTAGGAGGGTTCATGTTTCTGGCTTCCAGGGACAATATGAGGTTTGGAATGGCTGTCCCTCCATGACCACCTATAGCACAGCATTACACGGGACAGCTGCCCTGTCTTCCCTCTCAGCCCTGCCTATGCTGCTCCCCTTCCCAACCCCTCTATAACCGGCTCTCACCTCTTCCCAGACGCCGCCATGCTCTCCACTTCACCAACGTGCTCCGCTCTTCCGGCTCCCCCACAATACACCGCGCCGCTCGGCCCGCTACTTGTTTCTAAGACTCGCGAAGCTGCGCGGGCGGGCGCTTTCCGAACACTGCTGAGAGCTCAGATACTAAGTTAGTGCCGCAGCCTCTTCTTCCCGTATGCTCTTCATTCATAAAGAACAGTAAGAAATATACCCGGACTACAAGTGAGGTAAGAAATGAACGCTCCTCCTCTGGGGAACAATGAAGCGGTCGGGCGCAGACAGTTCCTCCAATGTTTATGTTGTGGCTGCTGGGTGGAAGGATTGTGCCGAGTGTCATCTGCTGCCGGTATGTGAGGAGGAGAACACCACACAACTTACTATACACTGCATGAGGAGAACGCTACACAACTTATTATACACTGCATGAGGAGGAGGAGGAGAACGCTACACAACTTACTATACACTGCATGAGGAGGAGGAGAAGCTACACAACTTACTATACACTTATGAGGAGAAGGAGATCTACACAACTTACTATACACTGCATGAGGAGGAGGAGAGATCTACACAACTTATTATACACTGCATGAGGAGAAGGAGAGATCTACACAACTTATTATACACTGCATGAGGAGGAGGAGAGATCTACACAACTTATTATACACTGCATGAGGAGGAGGAGAGATCTACACAACTTATTATACACTGCATGAGGAGGAGGAGAGATCTACACAACTTATTATACACTGCATGAGGAGGAGGAGAATCTACACAACTTATTATACACTGCATGAGGAGGAGGAGAGATCTACACAACTTATTATACACTGCATGAGGAGGAGGAGAGATCTACACAACTTATTATACACTGCATGAGGAGGAGGGAGAGATCTACACAACTTATTATACACTGCATGAGGAGGAGGAGAGATCTACACAACTTATTATACACTGCATGAGGAGGAGGAGAACGCTACACAACTTATTATACACTGCATGAGGAGGAGGAGAGCTCTACACAACTTACTATACACTGCATGAGGAGGAGGAGAATCTACACAACTTACTATACACTGCATGAGGAGGAGGAGAGAGCTCTACACAACTTACTATACACTGCATGAGGAGGAGGAGAACGCTACACAACTTATTATACACTGCATGAGGAGGAGGAGAGATCGCTACACAACTTATTATACACTGCATGAGGAGGAGGAGAGATCTACACAACTTATTATACACTGCATGAGGAGGAGGAGAGATCTACACAACTTATTATACACTGCATGAGGAGGAGGAGAGATCTACACAACTTATTATACACTGCATGAGGAGGAGGAGAGATCTACACAACTTATTATACACTGCATGAGGAGGAGGAGAGATCTACACAACTTATTATACACTGCATGAGGAGGAGGAGAGATCTACACAACTTATTATACACTGCATGAGGAGGAGGAGAGCTCTACACAACTTACTATACACTGCATGAGGAGAGCTCTACACAACTTATTATACACTGCATGAGGAGAGGAGAACTCTACACAACTTATTATACACTGCATGAGGAGGAGAGCTCTACACAACTTATTATACACTGCATGAGGAGGAGGAGAGCTCTACACAACTTACTATATACACTGCATGAGGAGGAAAGAGCTCTACACAACTTACTATATACACTGCATGAGGAGGAGGAGCACTACACAACTTACTACACACTGCATGAGGAGGAGGAGCTGTGCACATCCTACACAACTTATTGTACACTGCATGAGAGAGGAGAGCCCTACTACACAACTTATTATACACTGCATGAGGAGGAGGAGAGATCTACACTTACTTATTATACACTGCATGAGGAGGAGGAGAGATCTACACAACTTACTTATAAACACTGCATGAGGAGGAGGAGAGCTCTACACAACTTATTATACACTGCATGAGGAGGAGGAGAGCTCTACACAAAATTACTATATACACTGCATGAGGAGGAGGAGAGATCTACACAACTTATTATATACACTGCATAGGAGGAGAGCTCTACACAACTTATTATGCACACTGCATGAGGAGGAGAAGCTCTACACAACTTACTATATACTCTGCATGAGGAGGAGAGCTCTACACAACTTACTATATACACTGCATGAGGAGGAGAGCTCTACACACCTTACTGTATACACTGCATGAGGAGGAGAGCTCTACACACTTACTTACTATGTACACTATGTGAGGAAGCTGTTACACAACTTACTGCAATGCATAACGAGGAGGAGCTTTGCACAATCTACTTACTGCATGAGGAGGAGAGCTGTGCACATCCTACACAACTTACTGTACATGCTGCATGAGGAGGAGAGCCCTACACAACTTACTATATAGAATGCATTAGGAGGAGAGCTCTGCACTTACTATATATACTGCATGAGGAGGAGAACTGTGCACATCCTACACAACTTACTGTACAAACCACATTAGAAGGAGAGCTCTACACAACAAACTGTGCATACTGCATGAGGAGGAGAGCTCTACACAAATTACTATATACTGCATGAGGAGGAGAGTTCTGCACAACTTATTATATACACACTGCATAGGGAGGAGAGCTCTACACAACTTATTATATACACACTGCATGAGGAGGAGAGCTCTATGCAACTTACTATATACACTGCATGAGGAGGAGAGCTCTACACACCTTACTATATACACTGCGTGAGGAGGAAAGCTCCACACAGCTTACTGTACACGCTGCATGAGGAGGAGAGCTCTACACACAGCTTACTACACACACTGCATGAGGAGGAGAGTTCTGCACAACTTACTATATATACTGCATGAGGAGGAGATCTGTGCACATCCTACACAAATTACTGTACACACTGCATGAGGAGGTGAGCTCTACACAACTTACTACATAGAATGCATGAGGAGGAGAGCTATACACAACGTACTATACACACTGCATGAGGAGGAGAGCTCTACACAACAAACTGTACACATTGTATGAGGAGGGGAGCACTACACAACTTATGTACACTGCATGAGGAGGCGAGCTCTTACACAACTTACTATATAGAATGCATGAGGAGAGAAGAGCTCTACACAACTCACCGTATACACTGCATGAGGAGGACAGCTCTACACAATCACTATATACTGCATGAGGAGGAGAGCTCTGCACAATTCACTATACACTGCATGAGGAGGAGAGCTCTACACAACTTACTGTATACACTAATGAAGAGGAGCGCTCTGCACAACGTACTATATACTGCATGAGGAGGAGAGCTCTACACAACTTACTATATACTGCATGAGGAGGAGAGCTCTGCACAACTTACTATATACTGCATGAGGAGGAGAGCTCTACACAACTTACTATATACTGCATGAGGAGGAGAGCTCTGCACAACTTATATGTACTGCATGAGGAGGAGAGCTCTACACAACTTACTATATACTGCATGAGGAGGACAGCTCTACACAACTTCACTGTATACACTGCATGAGGAGGAGAGCTCTACACAACTACACTGCATGAGGAGCAGAGCTCTACACAACTCATTGTATACACTGCATGAGGAGGAGAGCTCTACACATCTCTATACACTGCATGAGGAAGAGAGCTCTACACAATGTACTGTACACACTGCATGAGGAGGACAGCTCTACATGAATCACTGTATACACTGCATGAGGAGAGAGAGCTCTACACAATGTACTGTACACACTGCATGAGGAGGACAGCTCTACATGAATCACTGTATACACTGCATGAGGAGGAGAGCTCTACACAATGTACTGTACACACTGCATGAGGAGGAGAAGTGGTGTTCACACGTATTACATGTCTGCTGTGCCTGGGAGGACGTGTTACTTTGTGCCTGTGATCGGACGTGTTGCTAGGTTTGTAGATGATCTGCTTCCTGTGATTGTTTGCAGGCTCTGTGGCTGACTCTTAGAGCTGTGATCATGATGGTGCCCACAGACCTCCTCGCGCACAGCTGCCTGCCAAGTGTCCTTAATATAGTAGCGGGGTGTTGATCCATGGACTGGAGATCATGTTCTGTACACACCGGAGTTCTTGTCTGCATGCAGCCATTCAGAAGCGCCTTCATGAACTTGCTGTGGTGGCCCAGTGCTGAGAGGGTGAGTACCAATGATAAATTAGATTTTATCTTCCTCTAATGGTGAGAAGTTGAAGTGTAACCAAAGGCAAAACAGATTTGTAATTTGTCTTGGAAAGGGTAAGGGAGGGTTCTAACCCCGTTCACTTCATCGTTACCATTTGTGTCCCATAGGTGAGGATTCCCTTTACTTCCTGTCTCTTAGCCAACACACAAAGTGAGCAGAAATCCCTCCAAAGTGACGGAGCTCCAGGGTGTCACTAGAACTGGTGTCCTCATTAAAAGATTTCCCCTCTGTTACTGCTCCGGGTACAACCCAATATTTGGGATTTTCTTTTACTTTCAATGATAATGGTAAACAGGACAAATGGAGAAGATGAATCTTCCTAATGGAGGCATAGACAGCAATAGAAACTGTCAGGTTTTCCATTCCACCTCCACTCTGTCCAAAACTAAGAAGAAAAAGTTTTTGCCTTTTAATTATGCTTTTAAATGTCAAACCTGTCTTTACTGCATGCATCCAGAGGTGGTGTTTTTGTTATAGGTGGAACATAATGGGTTAAGTTAGCTTTTTTTTTTTTTTTTTTTATGTCCTGGATACTTCTACACTAGGCTCTTCCTTCCATAATTCCCAAATCGATTTCTGTCCACCTGGGAGTTTTGTGGAGTTCTGCCCAACCTTGTGTGTTACATTTTCTATAATGTAGATTTAAAGGGAAACTAAAGTTCCACTGTGAAAAAAACAAAACAAAAAAAAAAAAAACCCCACAGCAAGCAGGCAGGCTTTCACTGCAGGAGAGACATGCCCTGTCACTTCTACAATCCCCCTACCTGCCTGTTTGCTGTCTTCTCTGGTGCTGTAAACTGAGCTGTGCATGCGCAGCTCTCAG